AGGAGGAGGAAGAGATGGGCCTGCCTCAGGCTGCATTTGGTGGAGTGATGGTGGCTGGGAGGAAGGGACCAGAAAAGAGCATCAAGTTGTTCATATCATGGCTGAATAGGGTTCCCTCTTTTGGGGATGGGGCTGTAGGGTGGGGAGGGGGAAAACTGCCTAGTCCTGGAGGGAAACAACCATTTGTCCTTTCTGCCTCAGGGAATGCAAGGTTTGGGGGCTTCCCTGCTTTCTTTTTCTTCTTGTTGTGTGCCTTCATATCGTTTCTGACTTATAGAGACCCATTTTGGGTCCCAGTCTTGGGAGGAAAGTGGGATAGAAATATCATCATCATCATCATCATCATCATCATCATCATCATCATCTGTCATAGGATTTTCATGGCCAGGTTTGTTCAGAGGAGGTTTGCCATTGCTTTCCCCTGAGGCTGAGAGTATGTGACTTGCTCAAGGACACCCAGTGGGTTTCACATTGAGGGCAAAACGTGCAAGGTTTTTAAAAGGGTCCTTCCTGCCTGTTTGGAGGGAGGATGCTTGGGAGGAAAGATGGCAGGTTGTTGTGCCAAGGAGGAGGTAACCACTTTGAGGAGAAAGCCTTGCTCAGTTTTGGGAGAAGGCTTTTTAGACACAAATACACACACACTCTGCCTCTCTTCCCATCCCATGAGGTCTGTGGTGCCTTGTTGGGTTATGTGTGTGAGGAACACTAGGGGCATGAGCAAGAGGGGAATCTCTCTCTCTTCTCTCTCTCTGGGTAACAAGTGTGCAGTGAATATAACCTGTAGATTCCCAGGGCTGCAAGGGGCTGTGACCTACCTGGTGATGTGGGGACTGCAATGCCCATCAGCCTTAGCCAGCATAGTCTGTGGTGAGGGTTAAGTGGAGTTGCAGTCCAGAAACAGTGGGAAGGCTGCCTGGTGGCACACACATGTATGAGTTTCTGGGATGTGTGTTCATCTGTTGCTTCTTTGTGTGTGTGTCTGTGTGTGAGAGAGAGAGATGGGAAGAGAGGCAATGTATGTGTATGTCTAAAGGTGGGGATTGTGCAGCCCTTTGGATATTGTTGGATTGCAGCTCCCAGCATTTCCCTGGCTGTGCTGAACAGAGCTGATGGAATCTGCAGCCCAATAACATCTGGAGGGCCCCATGATTCCCATCCCTGACCTAAGTGAAAGGGTCTGCAGGTGAATTTCATGGTATTAAGTTGTCTGGCTTTTCTTAGGCCTTGCTGGGTTGTTGCCTGTGTGTAGGATGTGTGGGGTGGAGTGGGGTGGTGGTGCCCAGTGGATGTTTCCTTGAAGTCGAGAAGTTCCAGATATCATCTTTCACAGTATGATTTCTTGGTGTCATGTATGGCTCTGCATGGGTGATGGAAGCAATAGGTCCTACCTTGAGTGAAAGCTCAGCCTGAGGAAATGTTGGCTAAGACCTGGGATCTTCAGTGGCCTAAGGAAACCAGTTCTGCAGCTGGACAGGCAAAGAGCATCTGCCCCTAGGTGTGTTTTTCTTATCTCACTCCCTAGTAACTCCTTGTTGGCTTACCTGAGTTGCCAGGTCAGAGGTACAAATGAGCCAAGACACCTCTGTTTTAAAATGAACACCTGCATGCTTGAGAGCTGGATATTGATGGCTTGTGCTGCCTTTCCCTTGGTATGCTACTTATTCCAGACTGTTTGACTGTGTGCTGCCTGTACTGGATGGTTGTTGTTGCTGTTGCTCTTGTGTGCTTTGAAGTTAGTTCTGACTTATGGTGGCCCTAAGGGAAACCTATAACAGGGTCTTCTTGGCAAGATTTATTCAGAGGACCTTTGTCACCCTCTGAGGATGAGAGAGTGTGACTTGCCCAAGGTCACCCAATGGGTTTCTATGGCTAAACAGGGTTTTGAACCTTAGTCTCCAGAGTCGTAGCTCCAATGCCTACACCACACTGGCTCTGTGTACTGGGTGGTGGCTTTGATATTGTTCTCATCTCATGAACTTGTTTCCTTTCCAAGCTTGGAAAAATTCCTTCCTTCCTTCCTTCCTTCCTTTCTTTTTTTTTTGGACTAAACTTCCAAGAATCCCCCAGCTACTGGCTGACAGATTTTGGGGAGCTGCGGTTCAAAACCTTAGCTTTTCCAAGCTCTGAAGTATGTTTATAGAGATGTGGGTTTAGCATGTTGCAAATTCCTTATATGTGTGGGTTTTCCTGGTAATTGGATGGTGGCTACACATGTCTGTGTGCATGATGGAGAGATTACATACATCTGTTACATTCATGAGATGTTTGGGGAACCTGGTGATGATTAAACGTGTTTCTCTGTGTTGGTTACATGCATCTGTGTTTGGAATGCATGCACATATTAATACATGAAATGCGCTGTTTGTATCTGGATGTTCAACCTTGTTCTGTTTGCAGGATCAGGGCCATAACCAAAGCTTAACCCTCCAGGACTCAGTCCCAGGGCCCTTTCAGACTACACAATTATAGTGCTATGATTCCACTTTAATTGCCATGGCTATGTCCTATGGAATCCTGGGACTGGAAGCTTAGGGAGAAGCATTCAGAATGCTCAGCCAAAGAGATCCTTTGGTGCCTCTGACCAAACTACAAGTCCCAGGATCCCATAGGAAGCAGTCAGGGTAACTAGAGTGGAATTATAGAGCTATAGTTGTATAGTGTGAAAATGACTCCATGTCCAGAATGTGTTTAATTATGACAATAAATAAATAAAGGATTGGGGGAATTGAATAAACCACATTGAGCAATATCTTTATTAGGATCAAATAAAATGCCACAGAAAAGTGTGCCATCTTTGAATCAGAAAGCTGGCACATTGTAATGTTATTTTCTAATTGTATGTTTTGCTTCCTCCAACCCTCAGTGCTCAAAATTTTTATTTTTATTTTTATATAGTTAATATATTATATACCATAGTTAATCTGAGAGTTCATTCAAACATGGACAGAAAGCTGCTCCCTTGCTATTGAATAACTGCATCTGTGAAGAGAGGTAAATGTAAACTTCAAACTTGAAGGTTGCATCCTTCCAAGCAAGCTTTCTTCTTCTTCTTCTTTTAAAATTAATCTGTTCATTCAGAGAATGGGGAATAATTAGCTACCTATTTAGAAATAAATATTTACATATTTATTCATTTATTTCATTGCTCTCTCTGGGGCAAAGCACCCATAATCAATCAAAGCATGGGCCCCTCTTGCCCCATCCATGGGACCAAAGTACAGGAAAATCCTTTCTTTTCTCAACATAAGTATGGAGACATGAAGCCTTGTTTAGTTCCAGTGAATCAACTTTAAAAGATAAAAAAGAAACTGCAATATTAAGACCAAAAAAGAGAGGGTGTACCAGAAAGACACCCCACCACAACTACATCTCTGTCAAATGTCTCTTTGGATTTGGGGGGCAGGGGATAATTTTGGGCTTCAGTGATAATGTTGTCTATTGTCAGGAATAAATTTATTACTGGGAACTGTGTCTCAGAATATTTGTAGTGGGTTGTTCCTTCTTGCTGCAACCTTCCTCTGACACAGCAATAAGATTGTCCAAATGGGATTGATAATGGGAAGTCAGAAATATTTGATTAAGTTTGGGTCTTTAATGTTCTTTCC